CAAGCAACCAAGTTGTAATTGGAAACTGAAACATTTAGTTGAGTTTTGAAATTGTTGCATTTATAAATTTGCAATTTGATTTTAGTTGAAGGGCTTTAGAGACACTCACTTACTATTTATTTAGAAAGGCTTAAGTGAAGGAGTATATTTAAATATTCCAGCCTACATATTGGCAAGAATGACTGCTAAAGAAGAACCCAATGCTACCCCATCAGTTTGGATATACCATCTGCCATCACACATAAAATAAACGTCTGTAACCGCCATTCTCATGAGATCTTTAAAAGTTTCTTTATCAACAGGATGAAGTTCCTCCAATTTTTAGAGAATATCTGCTGCTAACTCGATCGACTCTAGGACAGGGACGTTGGTATATAGGCTCTTGACGTCGAGAGAAACAATAACTTCGTCTTCCTCTAAACTCACCTCCATCAAGTCACGTTTGATATTGATAGTAGACGTCTCTATTTTGGCTTCTTCAATTTTATCAAACCATTTACTCAACTGGTTGGTAAGATTCTCATAACAGCTACCCGGGATAGACAGAACTGGACGGAGAGGTTTTTTCTGTTTATGTACTTTCGCCAGGCCATACAGTCTCGCCGGCTGAGCACCCGTAGATCTGCATTTACTGTATAAATCGGATGAGATCTTCCCCGCACGAACTAGTGACATGAGGTTTCTATTGAACGCCGACTCAATCGCAATTAAAACATCCTTCTTTCTAGAATTGTGACATTCGACCAGAATGTGAAAAATGCATTCTCTGCGGAATTCGAAATTTTAGCAGCGAGCCTTCCCAATTAGTGATTTTAAAGGATTAACGACGTTATTTGAACGATGGGACAAAACGTGAAGGTTGTAGGATTCGGGAATTGCTAATTTTTAATTTTTCGAAGTGATTACGTAACATTTCTGAGAAACGTCAGAAACGGCCATTTTGGCAAAAAGGTCGAAGAAAAACAGAACAACATTAGCTGCGATCGCGAGAAGCACGGAGATTGTGAAAAAAAAACGAAAACAAATCACGGAGTTAACAGAGAGCACTCCGAGTTGCAACTATTATGTCGCTACAATAGTTGCAAGGCCGTTGCAGATAACGGTGAAGGGTGGAAGACAGCCTTCCGGATTACGAAGAAATCAAGATTAACGAGCTTGATTCAGTGGATTCAAGAATCCGGAAGGAATTCGGAACTGAGACTTTTATCCTTTTATATAGACTTTTAGCTTCTTGTCATGTCCTGATTTGAATTTAATTAACAACTGGATTCATTTTGATAAGGATGAGAAGCTAGGAGTTGGGGGAAAGTGTTGATCCATCTTCGATGGAGATGATGATTTTTATCTACTGAGCAAAAACAATAGTAATATTATAAAATAGTAGTAGCCCTGTTTTTAGGAGTGACCTCGTGGTCTGGGGATACTGAGACCTAGCCATGAGCTCACTATTTCTGCATGTAATTAAGTTAATTTGAGTGTTTTGACCGAAGCCGAAAGCAGTAACGTTTTTCTCGACCCGATGTTAGAAAAGACCACCAAAAGTACTGGCTTGGTAGAGACGGTGAAAAGCATATAAAGCTCTGTTTAGACGTTAGCCAGTCGTCTTAGGACTAAGAAACATCAATTGATCAAAACAAATAAACTCCATTATCGATGGGTTTTAAAAAGAAAAGCTTGAATTAATCAAATATAAAAACAAAATAAAGCGTTAACGCTATCGTCTAAAAATTATAAATAGAATATCTCATCAAGTTTGTCATAGACTCTAATCGTGCCCAAAACGCAGGCGGCATTGGCTGATTGTATAGCCATTGAAAGCCGCTGTCTAAGGAATCCTGAGGCTCGGTCGTCGTTTGTAAGGGATTTAATGAGCCTTCCGAGCTTTTTGATAAAGGAGGACGTGTTCTTACTGCGCTGTCCTTGTGTTGTGAAAGCAACAGCTTGGAAAATATGTCCTCGCCTTGTGAGTTCTTCATACTTCGCGTTCTTTAAGGTTTCTGCAGACTCAGCTGTCCCAGAGGGATCTCCCCTAGAGGGTGCAAGGGCATCAACAATAGTTGCATCCCAGACAAGCGTTTGTCCTCTCTCCCACGGAACTAAAGTAGCACCGTCTGGTCTCTTGCCGTCAGACCGACACATTCCAGGGGGTTCCAGAACGGAAGGGTAACCCGCTAGGGCCAATGTTCGTTTGATAATGTTGTTGACCATTGTGTACCTGGCGTGCCGGCCAGCACTTTTCCGGCATGAGAGACCATGAAGGCCTGAATTGTCTACAGTCGAGCCACAAACACAACGGTGTGTGGCACAGACTGGACTGCCTAAACGAGTGGCGACGGCAATTCTCAATTGACTGTCTGTTAACTTCAGCCCTAGAGCTTGCGATGGAAGCGCGTTAATCCATGCTGCTGCTTCCTTGCCTTGAAAGGCCATTAGTCTCTTTCGGTTGTTGTTGTCTACCAAAGTGAGAGTGGTAGCTAGCATGTGTTTAAAGGCGGGACCTGTCCAATTGCTTTGAACGTGTGGATGGACGGGCCGTTCGACACAGTTACTCTGTTGTTGCCACTTCTCAAAAGCCTGTCCGATCGTGACGGGAACATTCACCAATCCGTCTGGTAGGATAGAGGCAATAATAGTCCGGCAACTCTCCGCTGAAGCTAAATACGCAGATGGTGCAGTGATAAATGCCGAACTAATACCCAAGCCTCCCAGAGTGGATGGCCAATGTAACTGAGAGGCAGATATATGATCTAGAGTGATGTTGCAGATTTCTTCCACTGATTTCTGGAGGGTGTTGTCGTAATTTTGAAGGAGCTGCTCGTATAGAAAACAAGGGGCTGTACGAAGGAAATATAGGAGTTTGGGTAGCGCAAACGAGTTCTTTATCATAAAAAGGGCATGGTGGGCTTCCAATTCTCCGAGTCTAGAACGCATTCTCTCCAGGGACTCTGTTTTCTGTCGTATACAGTCCTCTATAGCTAATTGTCCAATCGGGGCTCCAAGGATAACGAGGTCTTCGATGTTCGTAACTTCGGTAAAGGGACTGATAGTCCGGAAACGGTCAAGGATTTCTTGTTGACGAGTTATGGATGGCTGTCCAAGAAAGGTTATTTCGCATTTTTTCGAGTGTATCTCTAAACCAAGCTTCTTCGATTCCTCGATGATCCTGCTAAAATTCCACAGGACACGCTGCCAATTGCCTGCGATGTTTCCGTCATCCAGGAACCAGATGTTGAGTTCGGTATCCACATTTCCCACCATATCATTGATCGTATCAGAGAAAACTGGTGGTCCTTCCGGGTCTCCTTGTTGTGCACCTTCATCGGAACTGATGGTGAAGTTGCCGTAGAATAATTTGGATGGTTGCCCATACGGAGACTCGGTGTACTTAAAAATAGAGGGTCTCTCTAAGGCCACTTTGTTGAGGATTTTATTTTTTTATCACGACTCACGGAATTAAAGGCATTGGCGAAATCAATTTTCAGGAGAACATGGTCAGGTGTAATTGCGCTGCTGCCGATGTATGACTTGACGGCATGTGCTGCTGCTTCTGCGCCTAGAGGCGTGCCATAGCCAAGTTGCCTTGAACCGAAATCTCTCCTCCTCTCGTTGAAAACAGCCGAACCAGCACACTTAGACGCAAGCCTGTGCACCGTATTGCCAACTGCAATAGGCCGGACACCATTGTCTTTCTTTGATAAAGCAGAAAGGTTCGCTCCAAAAAAGTAAGGCCGAATAAAGGTGGGAGTCCGTCCTGCTAAAACAACAGTGTTAATGAATTTTGTGAGGTTGCTCAAACATCTGTTATCCGCTTCACCGGCAGAGTCATCAATCATATCCTTGAGGACCTGGGGCGAAAGACGGTCTGGGCCGGGAGCGGAACCAGAGGGAAAGGACTTGATACACTTCTTAACTGTGGCTGATGAGACAACACACGGCGTGGTCTCAATCTCTCCTGGGATTTCAGTGTCCGTCACCTTCCGTTCAGGATGTTTGTCTTTTAATTTTCCATATGTTTCGTCGTTGGGTCGGAGAACTGAATCATTAGATGCCAAAATTCTAATTGCTGCCTTGATGTTTCCATCGTCAATCTTTTGGGACACGAAGCGAGCAGTATCACTGCCTCCTTTCTTTTTAACAGCCTTTCGATTTTCGTCTGCGGTGGTGTTTGGGAAGGCTACTATGTTCTTTCTCACTTGTGTGGCAAGTGATTTCTGATGTTTGGCTCCAGTTCTGGTGGGTACACGCAGGCATGTAGGCGCTAAATTCATCATGTTGTTCCAGTTTGCTACATCGTCTGGGTCTGCACAAATTTTCTCGAGGATGTTACTGAAAAGTTCTGCTAGATTCCGTCTACTGGCTTTCGGGACTCTCCTTAGGACATTTACTCGGTCACGAATAGTCTTGTCGAGTGCTTCGAGGACCTTCGTGGTTTCGGGGTTTTCAGGTCGTTTAACGCACTGACGGCATTTGAAAGGCATGTCCTCGGGTATTGTCCTCGGGATATGGTGGGAATATGGTGGGAAATTCCTCGGGATATGGTGGGAAATTGAAAGGCATGTTATGTCAGGACTTAGTTTTATTTTCCGTCGATATGTATCTTCTGGGCGAATGTTACAAATCATCGAAAGGCTTGAACTGTTCTCCATTCAGAACTAATATGTACAGAATGATCAAAAATCATAAAAAGTACAATTTTTATACAATTATTTTATACAATTTATTATACAATTAATCTTTGTATATTATCTTTTCTCGTGTCGAGTTGCGTGTTATTATTGAAGAAACGTAGCACGTATCGAAATTCATTGTAAGGGCATCAACTCTTATCATCTTTTTTATTATTATCACTTCCACATCTAGAAAATTCCAAGGATTTTAACTGGAATATGTGATGAAGGGACTCCTGACTGTAACCTCGGATTCTTTGATACTTTTGACCTTTTGATTACTTCATTTTGACCTGATTTTTTATTTTATAATCACCCGTTTTTTTCAGGTATAACATTGTAGAGAACTAAGCTTCACATGGCTTTTGTTGGTAATATTGGTGCTACTGCGGAGTTGGATGACCAGATAAAAGAGTATTTATTATTTCGTGGATTCACGGCGGCTGCGAGGACATTCGAAAGCGAAATCAGCAAGGTTAATTCCGGTCCACCTAATTTTCCGTCCTCACTGTCAACTGGATTTGAAAAAAGCTGTAACGTTGATAAACTTGTTGAGTCTTTGATGAGTCTAATTTCATCTCACGATCTTACGCAGCTATCGAACTTATGGAATTTTATTAGCAAAAGGTACTTCTCAAGCTGTGACTCAGGTCAATCCAGTGCCTTACGAAAAATTGAACTCAGTTTATTCCGATGTTTCCTCGTCAACTGTGTAACAAGTGGAAGATCTGACAAAATACTTGAGTTCTTTGAGAAGTCTGCCAAGTTGATGCCGCATTACGACTGGGGTGAATGGTATGGCCTGCCGTATGTGAAAAATCCCGAATTGAATGATCGCTTTGCCCCATTTTTTCAGCGAGCTTGGCAGGAAACATTTGTTATTTCTTTGCACAATTTCCTTAACATAATTTTTATGTCAGCTCCTAAACCAAGTTTATTGAACAACCGACACGAAGCGTCTTTGTTGCAGTATTTACGAGACGAGAATTTTCTTTTGAAAGAACAGATAATTGCGAAGCAGAAGTCATCCGATGTATCTACAAGTCTTGACTCAACGATTGAGGCAAAGGTAATATCTAATTCGCAGCATAATGAGCTAAATACTAGGAGTGAAGAGGACTGGGTGTTTCAAGAAAATTACTACTCGGCTAAAGAAGTGAAACAAGGACCGAGTTCAGGGCGAAATTTGATGGCGAATGGCTTTGGAATCAAACAAACTATCAAGTCAGCTATTCCCAAGGCTCGTGGCATAACTGGAGGACGTTCTAATGCTTCGTGATTTACATGTATTCAAATATCTCAAATTAGTTAATTAAAAAATTTTGAACAGTTTTGTGTTGTACAAAAATACCCATGCTTAAGTTTTTGCCCCATGCTCCTGCAGTTATCACATGTAGTAAAGACTTCGAGTCTGATGAGAAGCCAAAAAGATCAGCAGAAGTCTTCCCGCATATAAAAAATAAATGGCTTTTGGCCAATGTTTCCTATCAATCTTCTGTATATCTATTTGAGCGGTAAACTTATCTTGCCATATTTAAGCCAATTTTACATGTTTAAGCAAAGTAAGTTCTCTACATTTTAAAACTACACACTAAATCATCATAGCTATGCGGTGTGTGAATGCTTGGGCGCTTTTGGGAGCCAGAGGATTTTTAACTCATGTTTTGCGTTTTTACGCTTGCAATTAGCAAGTGATGTCAAATCGGAACATGGACGTTTTTCAATGTAAACTACCTTTATATGAAGTTAAACCGTTTTCTCAAGTCTACTTGCGTCAGCCAATAGACATTTTGAGCATGAATGCATTTTAAATACCCGTTCTATTCGAAATTTGTTTTTAAGAGCAATGAACGTAGTGAGAACTCTTAAAAAGGTTTTTTTTAGGAAAAGTCTTCAAATTTGTTCACGCTCAATTTTGATTTTTTTGCGGTTTGACTTGTGATTTCTTTCTGAGTTCAGTGCATTTCCATTGTTAAAAGGAAGGCAAACTCAATTATTAAACAGTCAAGATTACAAAAAAAACGTGATTGACGTCTAATTTTTGTAAATGGAAATTAGTTTATCAGACTTCCCAGCGAAATAAAAGTTTTACCTATTGATCCAATTTTATCAAATTGGGTTAATTTTAACAAAATTTTAACAAATTCCGCCTGTATTCTGGGCACAATCCGAGAAGTTGACTCCCTAGAAGAACTTTTCTATACTATATAACTCCTTCATTTACATGACCTTATATGACCGCGTATTTAATTTACGTTTTTATTTGAAAAAAATTTCAACAAAAAAAAAATCAGCATAAATTGTTCTACAAATTCAGAACGCTTTAAAGCCATATATTTTCTTCGAAACTCAAAAAAATGAAGGTTTTTGAGAAAACAAGACAGTTTTTTTTTCAGTTGACATGCGTTTATTACTCTTTTGTAACTGTCAGTTTGCTATGTTTTTTTTTAATGTTGATTGTAAATTTACGAAATAATGCGTCGTTTGATGAGCGAAAAAATTGTTGGCCTGTGTGTGTTGTCATTGGGGCTCGAGAAAGTTTTTTGAGTTTCATGTCCAAACATGATTGTTTTCTCCTGAACGGATGTCTGCTCAGAAATTTTCGGCTTTTTTATCGCTTCGTAACTCTTGTTCCGTTGCTATTTTTTATTTCATTGTGTTACATGCATATTTTTATCGAAATTAAACACAAGACAACTCGAGAGAAACATTTAAAATTTTGATGGATCAAGTTTTTTAAGCATTTATGACGCTTGCGTTTAGCATGCGTTTTCAAATCGGAGTATTGACTTTTTTCGGTTAACAACTTGTTTTCGAAGATAAAAGGAGTTGAAAGTTTTTTGTAAATTTAATCTTCTGCTTTCTCAGTTTTAAAAAAGTAAGTTATGTTTTTGGTTCCCATTGAATACTTTTGCTTAATAATGATCGTCATTTAGGGTAGGCTATGTGGGTGTATCCAATCTTTTGTAAGTATCTTTTTGTCTATCTTGGTTATCTTTTATCACTCTTTTTGTGCTTTTTATTATCTATTCTTAAATTTTGACTTTTTTATCTATATTTCAGATAATCTTTTTGTTTCGAATTTTTTTTAATTCAACTGCAATAAAAGCTTTATTTTCTTTTTCATGTTCAACAACCTAGTTGAAGCACCGGAGGTGCGAGTCATGCGCTAGTAACTTCTTATTATCTTAAAAAATAAAATCGATTTTTTTTTTTCAAATTTTTTCCTTTTGAGCTTGAAAGTTTTCGGCCTATATTATATCGGCTTAGTGGCCTCACGTTGTTTTATTTGAGGAGCAAATAAAGTGTTTTGGGGGGATGAGGTGGACTTATATACTTTTCAGAAGTCTGAAGTCTTGTTGATTTTTTTTCGGCTTAAAGGGTTTCTGAAAAGGTATTGTCGGCTTTGTTACCGCTGGGTACATTATCTTCCGATGCTTATTACACAATCTGTTGTATTGGCATGTTTTTTGTTTCAAAACTAGCTTTATTCGTTTTTATTACATCTTGTTTTTTTCGACCTTTTTGTTTTTCTCAGGTTCGCCCATGTTTTTTTTTTACTTTCGACTGCTTTCGTCTCATCTTCTATTATCTGGGTTGGCATAGTTTTTTTTGTGTTGTACCACTCGTGGTGCAAAGCATGTGGCGTTTTCTAATGCATGTAGTGTTTTAGCGTGCAAGTTTAAAAGTAAATTTTCTATGTTTTTTTTCCCGCGTGATATCACCTTTATTTGGTCTATTATATACCCAATCCGGATTGTCTCATGAGTTCTTTCTTAGTAGAAACTGCCATTTCTCTTAAGTATCAACGAACGAACTGAAGACAATAAATGAGATTTTGCGATATTAATTCAGGAAAACATAAGAAAAGGTGTTCACGCTTTACCTCGATTTGTCGCAATTCGAATTTATTCAGTTAGTTTTTATACATTAGCTAAAATGAAGGCAGGGCACGATCTCCAACAACAAAAGAACTAATGACGCGGACAGCATGATTTTTTTTGTTTCGAAAGTGGATAGAAATTCTTAGATTCCCCAGCGGAATAATGAGTCACCCGTTGATCCAATTGTCTCAATTTGGATCAGTTTTAACGCTTGTAATTAGTAAGCGTTGCCAAGGTGGAACACGAATTTTTGTCAGGTTAACAACTTGTCTGACAAGATCACTGAATTAGGACTTTTACTGGTCAAGGAACCGAATCTGGCCAGGACTAGTTGTTTTTGCAAACTGATAAATTTTTACTTGAAAGCATTTTCGGCTAACGTTCTCAAGCTAATCGAGTATCTGAAGTCGGTGCTGTGTCGTCGTAGTTGTAGCACGGACTTGTTATGCATTTCAAGCCGTTTTCTGTTTAATTGAAATTATTTTTGATCAATTACTTAATGCAGATTTAAGTATTTATTGTCTTTTTTCTCTTGATCACAAGAAAGCAATGAAGGGAGCCTGACAAAAGTTTTTCACTGGCCATATTGAAGTTGCTATCATCATGATTTTATTTTACAGTAAAAAAATTATCTAATTCCTCTTTTCTGATTTTTCCCGGTTTTCACATATGAATCCTTCGTCTGGTTTTTTTTTGTGAATCCTAATTGTGTTGGAGAATAACTGGGCTGTGTCTACTTCTGAACTACTTTGAAGGCTTGATAAACGTGAAATATTTCGCAGTATTTCAAGTTTTCAATCCGAACACAGGCAAGAAGTTTTATCAAGAAATTGTCAATCATAAATTTGTGTTAAAATCAAAGAGCTCTGGTTGATTTCTTTTGAGCTTGGAATCTTTTTTAAGAGTCGATGAACGTAGTTCAACCTCTTATATAGCTAGTGATGATTTTTTTTTCGTTTTCTTGAAAAAACTAAAAATGCTCTGAAAACGCGCATTAATGCTTATAAATGCACCTATGAATGCCCTTAGATATATATGCTTTTTAAATTTCAATTCAAGTTCATTTGCTAGAAGGTAGGCCAAATTCACTCTCCAATAATGAAAGCTGAAATGGCGCAAAAAATGTGATCGATTTCCAGATTCGAAAATGGAATTTAGTTTTTAGATTTCACAGCGGAATAAAAACGGATTTAAGTACGGAAACGCGCTGTAGCGTCCGCTTTGTTTTATTAATTAATCAAAGTTTCCGATCTTTAAGTTTTTTTCCGATCGTAAAATAAATTTTTCAGGGTTAATATTTTTAGGTTACAATGCGCATCACACTGCCCTTTGTTATGTAGACAGAAAAAAGATAGCCTGCTTACTTGCATGGAATGGCTGGTGGCGCTAAAAGATGTCGAAGCAGAAGCAATAAACCAAAGCAAGTCGATAAATCTCGCTCAGGAAGATCGACACAACAGCAAAAAACTAGCAATTTCCGGCGTCGTGGACCCGAGAACCACGTCGAATCACGTCAATTAGATCACCAAGAAAATGGGAAAAGCAAAAGCAGAAAACGCACCAACGGAAATTGTGAAAATTATCCCGAAGAACATTCCAAAACGAAGTGGCGAAAATCAAGCAGTAGTGTGTCCAGATCGAGATCTGGGTCAAGCGGTAGCAGAAGTTTTGAGAGTTACAAGAATGGACCACGAGCTGATGCTGATAACCATTTGGTTTATTGGAGTGGGGACATAATCGGCCATAGATACCAGATTTTGAGTACCATAGGGGAGGGAACATTTGGAAAAGTCGTGCTGTGCATGGATAAAAAGAGCAAAGAGAAAGTGGCTCTGAAGGTGATCAAAAGAGTCGATAAGTATTTTAGATCAGCCAAAATTGAGATAGACGTACTAAAAGAAATCCTGAAAAGGGATCCGAAATTGCAACATCGTTGTGTGAGGTTATTGGACCATTTCGATTATCACGGGTTCATGTGTTTGTCATTTGAGGAGCTCGGTGTTAGCGTGTATGACTTTTTGAATGAGAACGAGTATGTGCCTTTTCCAATGGAGCATGTCAAGGCTATTTCTTATCAGCTGATAGACTCGGTTGCATTTCTTCATCGGCACCGGATTATACACACTGACTTAAAACCAGAGAACATTTTGTTTGTGAACTCGGATTGGGAAAATGTTTATAACAGAAGATTAAACAAAAATGAAAGAAGAGTTAAAAGCGCAGAGGTGCGTCTGATTGACTTCGGCTCAGCTACTTACGCCAAAGACAGTCGCCACTCTACTGTCGTTAGCACCAGACATTACAGAGCACTGGAAGTGATTCTTGAACTGGGTTGGGACGAGAAGTGCGATGCGTGGAGTGTGGGTGCAATCATGTTTGAACTACACACCGGCGATGCCCTTTTCCAGACTCACGATAACTGGGAACACCTCGCCATGATGAAGTATATCTTGGGTCCATTTCCACAGCAGATGGTGAGTAAGACGAGGAAGCGAAAGTACTTTCGGCGCCACGGAGATCTAGACTGGGACTTCGAAGAAGACAGCACAAGTAATTGTAGAATAAAATCTATGTGTAGACCCCTCACAGACTGCATAGTTCACAGAAGTTCAATCGGAAACGATGATGACAACAAAGGTTTGTTGCAAGTAATCCAGGGACTGCTCGCTTATCAGCCTTCAAGTCGATTATCCATGAGACGATGTTTGAAACACGGCTTTTTCGATTCTGTGCGCCAGATTTACCAAGTTAAATAGCAAAAAAAAAAACAGTTTTATAATGTGTTTGGTAATTTCGTTTTAATTCTTATTTAATTCATGTTAATTCATTTTTCTATTCCTGTTAACTTGTCAACTGAATTGAAGGGATAAGTGTGCAATAATAAAGGTTCCACAACTGTCAAATTTTCCTTGTGAATATATATTTTCCTTGTGAAAGCGAAGGGCTTGCTTCCTGCAGTTTTGAAAACCGTTAGCAAGCTATCTATTGCATCTGCCACGTGATAAAAGAAAACGAAAAATTTCAAGCTTCGGGCTTTTTCGGTTTTATTAAATATCTGTACTTTTTAAGTAGAGGGATGGGCCGTAATGAAAATTAGGCTAAGTCAAAGCAGATCAAAGTTGATTCAGGTAAGAGAGTAGAGACTATCCACTGCTTATTATCCATATTTATAGTATATCAAACCTTTTACCCGTGCGAGCTGGGCTGTCTTCGAGGGAGCCAAAACTGCGCGAAAAAAAAACCATTTTCAATGTTCACAAAAAAAATAAAGAAAAAACTGGATGCTGATGTTTTTTTTTTCTGGCACATTTTTCTAAAACTTAACTAGCAATTAAAAGGGATCATTTGGTGCCACTTTTGCTGTATAGCATGATAATTTAATAGAATGTGTTCTCTCTGACGATTCAGATGCGAGGACGTGAGACTGCTTCTATCCTGTTCGGTAGAACGATTTAGGCACATATGAAAAGTTTCATTTTTAAAGGCCCATATAGCCTGTTCTTTCCATATTTCGTGTTTTGCTTTTTTTGGCTACTTTGTTGCCGTTTTCTCGCTTGCGAAATGCAGCTTTGCCTGTGTAAATTATGGGCTCACTGTTAAATGAGCTGAATCGCACGTGTCTGTGTTTGAGTTTGACCGGGACCTGTTTTTTATTCAGTCGGGAAATATTCCTTGCCAAAAAATTGTCGGCCTATTATAAAGAGTAATGAACGTAGTGAGGACTCTTATAAAGGTTTTGCTGATTTTTTTGTTTTTTTTTAAAGAAAAAGTCTCAAAACTTGTTCACGCTCAATTTTGATTTTTCCATTTATTTTTTTTTTCGCGTGAATTTTTTTCGGATCTTATTAACTGTTTCGGTGAAGTCCCATTTGTCTTAAGATTCATTTGTAGCAATATGAAAAAGCGGTTCTATTTGTACTAAAAATTTTCAACTCGATTTCTGATTGGTCGTGTTGCGATCCAACGAATTTTCGATTCAGTTTTCTACTGTTCAAACCGCATAAAATTAACCAGCAGATTAGTAACCGCCAACGTGTTGTGAGCTTGCCAACAGAGGGAAGAACTCTAGACGAAAATAAGAGCCGGTTAACGCCGCAAAGCAGCGACGCGCGCATAGGGCACCCACCTGCGAAGATAAACCAAGAGCTTAAAACAGTCGGCTTAGTAGTCGTTTAGCCAATTGATTATTTTTGCTACTAACGCGATTGATTTTTCATTTTGGTACAAATGGGACTGACTTTTCATTTTGGTGCTTGTGAATACCCTCCACTATTCCACCCCTCTATTTCGGTTTTCGGAAATTCAACTAGGGCTGTCACATGTTCAATAGCTTAAAACACTTTTAAATGTTTGCTATGCAGGTATTATATGAATAGTGACTAATTCAAATACGAACGCGCGAAATTGAAAACCGAATTAATTTTTCACTTTTTTCAAATGCATATTTTTTACAGAAGTAGTTGTCTTAAATAATACATGCATAGGGGGAAATAGTTAACAAGGTCCAAAAGGGGGGGAATAATTATATTTTTTGCTATATAATTTTTGGTTCAAAGTTTTTCTTGACAACAATTTTGTTTTTGGTTCTACGGAAGTTTACCAAAAGTTGCCTCTAGATAATATTTTTTGTTTTTGCATTAAACGCCGTCGATTGTGTTTTTAGCAACTATAATATCATTTCAGACAACGTTTTGAAGTTTCTTTAGTTTTGGTTTTTCTTTTTTTGTTTTGGACTTGGTGGCTTGCTTTTACTCTCTGCTAGCTTGCAGTGCTATTTTCGTTTATGTAGTATCGAGAGTGATGCGAAGCTTCGCTTCGCCTCTATGTGAAAAGCTCAATTTCTGTACACACCTGAAGTTTTTTCTTGCATTGCTAAAGCTCTTTTTACCTTTTTTGCTTGTTTGCGACGTGTAGCTTTGTGCGTAGTATTTTTTTATCACTATGCCCTCAAATTACTCTATATATGACACAATTGGTTTCTTTTATAGAAAATTTCCTTCAATTACACGATTATAGCCAATGTTCAATTCAGAGGCCAACTTCTTCTCTTCACATTTCGAGTTTATATAGCAAAGTTAAGCGGATCGTATTCATAGGTCCCAAAATGAAGAACCAGTCCCATAGGTCCCAAAATCAACAAGCAAACGCATAAGTTCTAAACGTTTTTTCAATTGGTCAAAAGACTAAATTAGCCGAGTCTCTGTTTAAGGTCGCCGGTTGGCGCGCTACCCGCGCGTCTCCGATTTGCGGCAATAGCCGGCTTTAATTTTCGTACATAGTCCTACCCTCTGTTGGTAAGCTCGCAACACATTGGCGTTGCTTCGGCGGTCACTATTCTGACGCTTGTGTGTGCTGCTGGAGCAGTAACAATCAAATTGGTTGGCTCAAATTTCAACCAATCAGAATTCAAGAAGATAATTATTTCATAAAGACTTATGCGACTGAGTTTTTTTTATCTTGGGTGATATGATTATTGAGAAATATAGGAATTCACCGTTTAAGCGTCCGACGATCAGGAGGAAAGCATTTAAATTATGGTTCCCTCAAACGACTCCAGTTTTCATTGCAGTTGCTTTTTATGTTTTCATTTACTGCTGCAATTCGTAATTATTTTAACCTTGACTTCGTATTTTCCCTTTTTTATTTTTAGGCATTATCACGAACTTTTGAGGCATTTGTATAGTTCTATAATCTTACCAGGCAGAACAAACAACACTAATTTGAAGATTAAAAAAAGTTTTTTTTTTGTTGTTTTACGAATATGGTCAGAACATTCTGTGCTAGCTGCACAACAACTGGCTATCCTTGTTTAAATTTGCTTAAAGGAGAATAAATCATGTCAAACCCTCCAAATATAAAAATGGAAGTGACGCAAGAAAACTTGAGTAAAATTACGTTTGGAATTGAATTTGAAATTCAGATTGCCAGCGGAATAAAAAACATTATATTTTGTCCCAGTTTCTTCTAGTTGGGAAAAGATTTTTAAAAATTGAAGGGCTAAAGCGTGATAAAATTCCGTTTCAAAAAATTTTCGGCTTATGATTTGTCTGCTTATGTTATGTCGGCTGTGTTGCCACGTCGTAGAATACTTTTTATACAGTTTTCATTGCAGTTTCTTTTTTATGTTTTCATTTATTCCTGCAATTTGTGATTATTTTAACCTTTTTCGTATTTTTTCCTATTTTGTTTTTTTTTGTTTTAAAATTTCTTCGGCCGATGTGATTTCAGCTCATAATTTATCGGCTTGGCAACCTAATTTTGGGTCATTTGAGGTAACCATACTTCGAATTTTTTCCTCCAGATAGCACAAATTGTTAAAGTTCTCAAAATTTATAGTTCAAATGTTTCATGACGATTTTTTTGCTCGAAAATTGTTTCTGAGTTTTCATAAAACGCCGTCGATTGTGTTTCAAGAATGTGTCGAATGTGTTAAACGTAGTCGAATGTGTTTTCCGCAAATAGAACATGATTCCAGACAGCATTTGAAGTTTTTAGTTGTTTTCTTTGAAAATTCTTCCGTTTTCTTTGGACTTGGTTAATTCATTTCCTTTCCTGTCTGCTAGCTTGCAATAGTATTTTCGTGGTTTCGCAATTGATGCGAAGCTACGTTTCGAATCTGTGTTTTTTTATAAACATTGACTTTTTAGGCGCAAAAAAATTTGATTTTACGAAAGCCAATTTGGAAGCTTCATTAAGCGCTCTCTTGGTTGCAAAATTTTATATTTTATACTAAAGTAAAACTTTTGGTGCAGAAAATAAGAAACATTTTGAGAAACGTTTTTCTGATCTTTTTTTTTCATTTCTTTTAATGTTTGAAGACAATTGTGGAATGTTAAGCCCAAATCACTAACTTTTTAGGAATTTGTATAGTTCTATAATCACACCAGGCAGAACAAATGACGCTAATTTGAAGATTAAACGTTTTTTTGTTGATTTACGAATATTGTCGGAACCTTCCGTGGTACTTGCACATCAACTGGCTATCCTTGTTTACATAGTTTAAAGGAGAATAAGTCATGCCCTCTAAATATGAAAATGGAAGTGACCCAAGAAAACTTGAATGAAATAACGTTTGCAATTGAATTTGAAATTCAGATTGCCAGCGGAATAAAAAACATTATATTTTGTCCCAGTTTCTTCTAGTTGGGAAAAGATTTTTAAAAATTGAAGGGCTAAAGCGTGATAAAATTCCGTTTCAAAAAATTTTCGGCTTATGATTTGTCTGCTTATGTTATGTCGGCTGTGTTGCCACGTCGTAGAATACTTTTTATACAGTTTTCATTGCAGTTTCTTTTTTATGTTTTCATTTATTCCTGCAATTTGTGATTATTTTAACCTTTTTCGTATTTTTTCCTATTTTGTTTTTTTTGTTTTAAAATTTCTTCGGCCGATGTGATTTCAGCTCATAATTTATCGGCTTGGCAACCTAATTTTGGGTCATTTGAGGTAACCATACTTCGAATTTTTTCCTCCAGATAGCACAAATTGTTAAAGTTCTCAAAATTTATAGTTCAAATGTTTCATGACGATTTTTTTGCTCGAAAATTGTTTCTGAGTTTTCATAAAACGCCGTCGATTGTGTTTCAAGAATGTGTCGAATGTGTTAAACGTAGTCGAATGTGTTTTCCGCAAATAGAACATGATTCCAGACAGCATTTGAAGTTTTTAGTTGTTTTCTTTGAAAATTCTTCCGTTTTCTTTGGACTTGGTTAATTCATTTCCTTTCCTGTCTGCTAGCTTGCAATAGTATTTTCGTGGTTTCGCAATTGATGCGAAGCTACGTTTCGAATCTGTGTTTTTTATAAACATTGACTTTTTAGGCGCAAAAAAATTTGATTTTACGAAAGCCAATTTGGAAGCTTCATTAAGCGCTCTCTTGGTTGCAAAATTTTATATTTTATACTAAAGTAAAACTTTTGGTGCAGAAAATAAGAAACATTTTGAGAAACGTTTTTCTGATCTTTTTTTTTTCATTTCTTTTAATGTTTGAAGACAATTGTGGAATGTTAAGCCCAAATCACTAACTTTTTAGGAATTTGTATAGTTCTATAATCACACCAGGCAGAACAAATGACGCTAATTTGAAGATTAAACGTTTTTTTGTTGATTTACGAATATTGTCGGAACCTTCCGTGGTACTTGCACATCAACTGGCTATCCTTGTTTACATAGTTTAAAGGAGAATAAGTCATGCCCTCTAAATATGAAAATGGAAGTGACCCAAGAAAACTTGAATGAAATAACGTTTGCAATTGAATTTTAAATTCAGATTGCTAGCGGAATAAAAAATATTATGTTTTGTCCCAGTTTCTTCTAATTGGGAAAAGATTTTTAAAAATGAAAGGGCTGAAGCGTAATAATTTTTTCCTCGAAATTTGAAAAATTCCGCTTCAAAAAATTGTCGGCATATGATTTGTCTGCTTATGTTATGTCGGCTGTGTTGCCACTTCGTAGAATACTTTTTATACAGTTTTCATTGCAGTTGCTTTTTGTGTTTTCATTTAATCCTGCAATTTGTGATTATTTTAACCTTTTTCGTAATTTTTCCTTTTTGTTTTTTTTTGCTTTAAAATTTCTCCGGCCGATGTGATTTCAGCTCATAATTTATCGGCTTGCCAACCTAATTTTGGGTCGTTTGAGGGAACCATTTCTTAAATGCTTTCCTCCAGATCGCACAAATTGTTAAAATTCTCAAAATTTATTGTTCAAATGTTTCTTGACAATTTTTTAGCTCGAAAATTGTTTTTGAATTTTCATAAAACGCCGTCAAATGTGTTTCTGGAATGTCTTGAATGTCTTGAATGTGCTAAACGACGTCGATTGTGTTTTCCGCAAATAGAAAGTAATTAATGCCCGGCAACATTTGAAGTTTTTTAGTTGTGTTTCTTCGAAAATTTTCCGTTCTCTTTGGACTTAGTAGCTCCATTTTCTTTCCTGTTGCTAGCTTGCAATGATATTTCCGTGGTATCGTAATTGATGCGATGCTTCGCTTCAGCTCTGTGTTTATCAAAATTGACTGTTTAGGCGTTAAAAAAGTTGGTTTTGCTAAAAAGAAAACCAGTTCGGAAGCTTCATTAAGCGCTCTCTTGGCTAAAAAGTTTTATACAAAGTAAAACTTTTAGTGAAGAAGATCAGGAAACATTTGAGAAACATTTTTTTTTTTGGTTTTTTTTTCGTTTATTTGATTTTTGGCGACAGTTGTAGAATGTTATGCCTAAATCACTAACTTTTTAGGCATTTGTATAGTTCTATAATCACCAGGCAAAAGAAACGACGCTAATTTGAAGATTAAAAAAAGTTTTTTTTTGTAGTTTAACGAATAAAGTCGGAACATTTTGTGCTTCTTGCACAGCAACCGGCTATCCTTGTTTCAATTTGCTTAAAGGAGATTAAATCATGCCCTCTAAATATGAATATGGAAGTGACGCGACAAAACTTGAATGAGTTTACGTTAGCAATTGATTTTTAAATTCACGATTGCCAGCGGAATAAAATACATTGTTTTGTCCCAGTTTCTTCTAGTTGGGAAAAGATTTTTAAAAATCAAAGTGCTGAAGCGTGATAATTTTTTCCTCGAAATTTGAGAGAAGTAACCAGTCTATGTTGGGCTGCATGTTGACAAAATGAAGCATGGTACATAATGCATCATTCTATTTAACAATCGATACGCGTATAGTCCACAATTGAAGCTGTTAAGAATGAGACAAAGTTAAAAGCAAAACAGAGTTCAGTTCAAATGTAAAGTTTTTAGAAGCCTAAACCATAGTAATGAACTAGTGTATGCAAACGTTCCACCTCTGTATATAAGTTAAACAGCAAACCTTGCTGTGGTGTGTCGAAATGTTTTTTTTTTACATTAAATGGAAAATTTTATTTGTTTTATTCCAAAAGTGTATCGAAAGAGGAAGCAGTTCATTTCAAATGAAAGTTAAGTAAATAATTTGAGAGAAAAACAGTTTTTCCTGGAAGACAAATATTGCAATTGAATAGCAAACTTGATGAAATTGTAGCTATCAAAAACTATTGCATGTGCAAACTGCATTTGTCGGACAAGCATTCTGCTCATAATCAGCTGCATGCGTAATTTCTAATTCATTTTTGTGGCCAACATATTTCTGAGTATATTGAGCTAAAATTTTTACTGATAACAATTTAGAATTTTTTAAATTATTTTTATGTCAAACGAAGTTTGAACTTTTGAAAAACTGTTTTCGAGCTGTATAGGGCAATTCTAGATGATCAGTTTCTGTCTTTTTAATTGCACTAAGTTTTGAGCCGTAACTTGGCAATTGTTTTATTTTTTTTTCGGCGCTATGTTGCCCTTATTCTTTTTCGAGGATGGCCTAAATTTAAGCTGCTGTGTTTGACTCGTTGGTACATTTTTTCACTTCTAAGTGTTTTGATATAAGTGTTTTGTTGCGTTTGTTAACTTCCACCACTGTTTGAGCTAAGTGTAAGCTGAAAGATTTGGAGCAAATATGTCAAATACCATATCGCGAATTGAAAAGAAAAAGCGTTAAAAGCGAGATATAAATAAGATGTTTCAATTTATGTATCAATGGATCAAAGTTTTTTCTACATCCATGCGGCATTACTTTCACCGAGAAAAATAACATCAGTTATAAAAGTAAATTTATCAATACTTACCAATTTAAGATTTCAATTAGACATGTTAATGGTCGGTAAACATACTGAAGTTGAATAATCCATTATACCCTCATAGTAACCTGGAAACCTTACCATAATTATAGTTCTAGGCGCTGATATGGATTATTTTGTTTGACCTTATCAATTTTTAGCGTAAGAGTGCCTTAACAATCAAAATTTGGAAATTAATTCGTTGAACTTTTTTCTGTGCCAAATGATAGTTTTGTGCTTATTTAACAAGAAATGAAACATTTATCGAAAATATCTCAGCGGGAAGTGATATGGACAGAGCATGTTATAGTTGGTCGAATTGTAATTAGAATCAATGAGCCAGCTGTTTGCCCTTTGCAACACGCTTTAGAATAATCAAACAAACTTGTTTGGAGTTGCTCATTTACCAAATTAGTCATTTAAAGTTATGACGCTCTGGCAATCGCAACTTCAGTCGATAGTCAAATAAGTGGGCAGTTCATAGAACTTGAAAAAAAGTAGATTTCTTCTGCTCAGAAGAAACGAACTTCACTTCTGGAAAAGAGGGATCATTGGTTGTCGAAATTAAGGGAAAAGGTTAGTGTTATATTTTCTAGCAGTTGTGAATTTTCTGAGGCTAGGATATCTCTCTTCAAAAATACAAGGATTCGGTTGGGTATTGTTACGGCAGCCGCGGAAAAAACATCTGATCCAAACAGGTGTTTTCCTTTTGGTCGCAATAAATTTGTCTGAAATTCTTACCTGGATGAAGTTTAAATGAGTGGATGTGCTTTTCGATGCCTGTGTGATCGCAGCATGAGTTATTGATTATTTTTTGGATCGAAAAATTGTTATGTGCGGAGAATTATTTCATTTCTTTGAAAAGGAGCGACGGAATGAGTTTTTCGGAATGAAAAACAGTAACGAGCGCAAATATTTGATTTTGTTTTTTAATGAAAAAGGACGTTGAAGTGACTAAGGTCTCCGATTCCCGGTCGAGGACCACCATGATCTTTACTGCCATCTTTTTCTGTAAAATAATTATATTGTTTTGGTTTTAGCAGATTTTCAGGTTTCACCAGATATAAATGTAATTTTGCACTTCCTATGAGCATTGATTTTGCATCAGGATTCTAGATTTCTAACGCTGGCTGAAATCTCCACCGGTTGAGAGATTTTTATGTAAAAGCTGCCCGAAAGCTTGTCTAGATGCGTTAACAGCAGGCAGATTTTAAGGATATTTGACAGGGTTATTATACGGGTTATTTTTCCTATCACTAAAAATGGTGAGAAATCTTGTCTTCGTATGTTCTAATTTTTTTCCACGCGAAATCCGTTACCACAAATAATCATCTGAATGGGTCAAGTGATAATAAAAATTAAACCCTTTCAATTGGTGATTTTAACGAAATCAAAAATTTCCAAAAAGTTAACCCAGCGACGAGAAAAATCGGTTCGAAATTTTTGCTTTTTAAACTCACTCCAGCAAGTAACAGTTGTTAGATAAAAAATGATTCTAAGCCAAAATACGGCAAAAATTTCGGGGAAGTTAAATTTTAAGTTGTTTTAAGAACGTGGTCGGAACACAGGGATGCCAAAATAATTATTGCAATATAATTGCAGTTGAAAAATAAATAATTGTATTGTTTCAAATCTAATAAATAATTTTTATTTTGCTAGGCAAAAAATAAATTATTGCAGTTATTGCTAAAATGGAAAAAATGTATATAATGTTTGAAAAATTCCGCTTCAAAAAATTGTCGGCATATGATTTGTCTGCTTATGTTATGTCGGCTGTGTTGCCACTTCGTAGAATACTTTTTATACAGTTTTCATTGCAGTTGCTTTTTGTGTTTTCATTTAATCCTGCAATTTGTGATTATTTTAACCTTTTTCGTAATTTTTCCTTTTTGTTTTTTTTTGCTTTAAAATTTCTCCGGCCGATGTGATTTCAGCTCATAATTTATCGGCTTGTCAACCTAATTTTGGGTCGTTTGAGGGAACCATTTCTTAAATGCTTTCCTCCAGATCGCACAAATTGTTAAAATTCTCAAAATTTATTGTTCAAATGTTTCTTGACAATTTTTTAGCTCGAAAATTGTTTTTGAATTTTCATAAAACGCCGTCAAATGTGTTTCTGGAATGTCTTGAATGTGCTAAACGACGTCGATTGTGTTTTCCGCAAATAGAAAGTAATTAATGCCCGGCAACATTTGAAGTTTTTTAGTTGTGTTTCTTCGAAAATTTTTCCGTTCTCTTTGGACTTAGTAGCTCCATTTTCTTTCCTGTTGCTAGCTTGCAATGATATTTCCGTGGTATCGTAATTGATGCGATGCTTCGCTTCAGCTCTGTGTTTATCAAAATTGACTGTTTAGGCGTTAAAAAAGTTGGTTTTGCTAAAAAGAAAACCAGTTCGGAAGCTTCATTAAGCGCTCTCTTGGCTAAAAAGTTTTATACAAAGTAAAACTTTTAGTGAAGAAGATCAGGAAACATTTGAGAAACATTTTTTTTTTGGTTTTTTTTTTCGTTTATTTGATTTTTGGCGACAGTTGTAGAATGTTATGCCTAAATCACTAACTTTTTAGGCATTTGTATAGTTCTATAATCACCAGGCAAAAGACACGACGCTAATTTGAAGATTAAAAAAAGTTTTTTTTTGTAGTTTAACGAATAAAGTCGGAACATTTTGTGCTTCTTGCACAGCAACTGGCTATCCTTGTTTCAATTTGCTTAAAGGAGATTAAATCATGCCCTCTAAATATGAATATGGAAGTGACGCGACAAAACTTGAATGAGTTTACGTTAGCAATTGATTTTTAAATTCACGATTGCCAGCGGAATAAAATACATTGTTTTGTCCCAGTTTCTTCTAGTTGGGAAAAGATTTTTAAAAATCAAAGTGCTGAAGCGTGATAATTTTTTCCTCGAAATTTGAGAGAAGTAACCAGTCTATGTTGGGCTGCATGTTGACAAAATGAAGCATGGTACATAATGCATCATTCTATTTAACAATCGATACGCGTATAGTCCACAATTGAAGCTGTTAAGAATGAGACAAAGTTAAAAGCAAAACAGAGTTCAGTTCAAATGTAAAGTTTTTAGAAGCCTAAACCATAGTAATGAACTAGTGTATGCAAACGTTCCACCTCTGTATATAAGTTAAACAGCAAACCTTGCTGTGGTGTGTCGAAATGTTTTTTTTTTACATTAAATGGAAAATTTTATTTGTTTTATTCCAAAGGTGTATCGAAAGAGGAAGCAGTTCATTTCAAATGAAAGTTAAGTAAATAATTTGAGAGAAAAACAGTTTTTCCTGGAAGACAAATATTGCAATTGAATAGCAAACTTGATGAAATTGTAGCTATCAAAAACTATTGCATGTGCAAACTGCATTTGTCGGACAAGCATTCTGCTCATAATCAGCTGCATGCGTAATTTCTAATTCATTTTTGTGGCCAACATATTTCTGAGTATATTGAGCTAAAATTTTTACTGATAACAATTTAGAATTTTTTAAATTATTTTTATGTCAAACGAAGTTTGAACTTTTGAAAAACTGTTTTCGAGCTGTATAGGGCAATTCTAGATGATCAGTTTCTGTCTTTTTAATTGCACTAAGTTTTGAGCCGTAACTTGGCAATTGTTTTATTTTTTTTTCGGCGCTATGTTGCCCTTATTCTTTTTCGAGGATGGCCTAAATTTAAGCTGCTGTGTTTGACTCGTTGGTACATTTTTTCACTTCTAAGTGTTTTGATATAAGTGTTTTGTTGCGTTTGTTAACTTCCACCACTGTTTGAGCTAAGTGTAAGCTGAAAGATTTGGAGCAAATATGTCAAATACCATATCGCGAATTGAAAAGAAAAAGCGTTAAAAGCGAGATATAAATAAGATGTTTCAATTTATGTATCAATGGATCAAAGTTTTTTCTACATCCATGCGGCATTACTTTCACCGAGAAAAATAACATCAGTTATAAAAGTAAATTTATCAATACTTACCAATTTAAGATTTCAATTAGACATGTTAATGGTCGGTAAACATACTGAAGTTGAATAATCCATTATACCCTCATAGTAACCTGGAAACCTTACCATAATTATAGTTCTAGGCGCTGATATGGATTATTTTGTTTGACCTTATCAATTTTTAGCGTAAGAGTGCCTTAACAATCAAAATTTGGAAATTAATTCGTTGAACTTTTTTCTGTGCCAAATGATAGTTTTGTGCTTATTTAACAAGAAATGAAACATTTATCGAAAATATCTCAGCGGGAAGTGATATGGACAGAGCATGTTATAGTTGGTCGAATTGTAATTAGAATCAATGAGCCAGCTGTTTGCCCTTTGCAACACGCTTTAGAATAATCAAACAAACTTGTTTGGAGTTGCTCATTTACCAAATTAGTCATTTAAAGTTATGACGCTCTGGCAATCGCAACTTCAGTCGATAGTCAAATAAGTGGGCAGTTCATAGAACTTGAAAAAAAGTAGATTTCTTCTGCTCAGAAGAAACGAACTTCACTTTTGGAAAAGAGGGATCATTGGTTGTCGAAATTAAGGAAAAAGGTTAGTGTTATATTTTCTAGCAGTTGTGAATTTTCTGAGGCTAGGATATCTCTCTTCAAAAATACAAGGATTCGGTTGGGTATTGTTACGGCAGCAGCGGAAAAAAACATCTGATCCAAACAGGTGTTTTCCTTTTGGTCGCAACAAATTTGTCTGAAATTCTTACCTGGATGAAGTTTAAATGAATGGATGTGTTTTTCGATGCCTGTGTGATCGCAGCATGAGTTATTGATTATTTTTTGGATTTAAAAATTGTTATGAGCAGAGAATTATTTCATTTCTTTAAAAAGGAGCGACGGAATGAGTTTTTCGGAATGAAAAACAGTAACGAGCGCAAGTATTTGATTTTGTTTTTTAATGAAAAAGGACGTTGAAGTGACTAAGGTCTCCGATTCTCGGTCGAGGTCCACCATGATCTTTACTGCCATCTTTTTCTGAAATAGATTGGATAGTGAAATAATTATATTGTTTTGGTTTTAGCAGATTTTCAGGCTTCACCAGATATAAATGTAATTTTGCACTTCCTATGAGCATTGATTTTGCATCAGGATTCTAGATTTCTAACGCTGGCTGAAATCTCCACCGGTTGAGATATTTTTATGTAAAAGCTGCCCGAAAGCTTGTCCAGATGCGTTAACAGCAGGCAGATTTTAAGGATATTTGACAGGGTTTTTATATGGGTTATTTTTCCGATCACTAAAAGTGGTGAGAAATCTTGTCTTCGTATGTTTTAATTTTTTTCCACGAAATCAGTTACTACAAATAATCATCTGAATGGGTCAAGTGATAAATATAATTAAAACCCTTTCAATTGGTGATTTTAACGAAATCAAAAATTTCCCAAAAGTTAACCCAGCGAGGAGAAAAATCGGTTCGAAATTTTTGCTTTTGAACTCACTCCAGCAAGTAACATTTGTTAGATAAAAAATGATTCTAACCCAAATTACGGCAAAAATTTCGGGGAAGTTAAATTTTAAGTTGCTTTAAGAACGTGGTCGGAACACAGGGATGCCAAAATAATTATTGCAATATAATTGCAGTTGAAAAATAAATAATTGTATTGTTTCAAATCTTCCAATAAATAATTTTTATTTTGCAAGGCAAAAAATAAATAATTGCAATTATTGCTAAAATGGAAAAAATGTATATATTATTTTTATGCAAAACTTCAATTGAGAGTTGAGTTTACAGTATCATGACCCCAGAATTTCTTGTTGAGATGATGGGCGTTGTTCTCTTTCTTGAGGCTCAACAAGAAGTTGGGCGGCTTGTTTCACGGCTAAATTGAGTCGGTGGCTAGCGCAACCAATAAAGGGGACTAGCCAAGAGGTAGCTAACTTACGATTCTGATTCTCGTTATCTCCTATCAAAAATGCCAATGAATCGACATTTTTGCCGAATAAATGTAGTATAAACACGATAAACTCAAAATGATTTTTCGCGTTCGTGTGCTCTTTGACCAGAAGCGGGGATAGAGCTAGCAAAGGTGTTTTTTTTAACCCCGGATGCAGTAGGATCATCAGAAGCAGCAAAAATAGCAAAGTAATGCGATGGATTATACGACCAACCGTTAAGTTATTCCAAATTTACGGGGTAAATCAGCAGCTATAAATTGTTCAACTTTTTCAGTAAGTTTACTCATGTGTTTTTGCTGCGTTGGAACCAATATTGGGTCGAGTTTTGTGTTTTTCTGAGTAAATTCTTTGTCACAAAACTCTTACGGGTAATTTTCAATCACCTTCCATTCAATCCAAGCGTGCATATTTGCAACTTTTTACGAAATAACAGAAATTTCGCCAAGTAAACTGCAAGACAATTTTCTTTCTTCTTTCCAGTTGGCGTGTGCAGTAAAAGGTTTTGAAAAACCGCTCCTTTTCTTCAGTTCTCGTGCCGTACCGCAAATGCATTTCCATCTTGATGCAGAAATTTTCGTGATTATTATAAAAGCAAACAAAAATAATCAGTTGCTGTTCCGACAGGGATGCCAAAAAAAATAAATTATATTGCAATAAATGCAACTAACTTATTTATTTTTTTGTTGTCCAAAAAGTCGGATTTTTTTTAAATTTTCCACCCTTGCAATAAAACTAAATTATTTTAAAGCCACAATTATTGCAACGCGGAATCCTTTCAAAGAGACGTAATCCAGTGCGGCCAGCCTCGCATCAGCCAGCTTGCTTTTCGTTCAAGCGAATGCGATTCTGGCTGCACTGTATTATGTCATCGACAGAATAACTTAATGATGCCGAGACAGAACAAATTAACTGTGTGTTAAGTTTCATTTTATACACGTAATGGCTCCCAGAACTAACACTCCCATCTTGATGCAGAAATTTTTGTGAAATACTGAATAACAGCTTTCTAATGAGGAGTGTTAGTTCTGGGAGCCATTACGTGTATAAAATGAAACTTAACACACAGTTAATTTGTTCTGTCTCGGCATCATTAAGTTATTCTGTCGATGACATAATACAGTGCAGCCAGAACCACATTCGCTTGAACGAAAAGCAAGCTGGCTGATGCGAGGCTGGCCGCACTGGATTACGTCATTCCTTTGAAAGGATTCCGCGTTGCAATAATTGTGGCTTTAAAATAATTTTGTTTTATTGCAAGGGTGGAAAATTTAAAAAAAATTCCGACTTTTTGGACAACAAAAAATAAATCAGTTTGTTGCATTTATTGCAATATAATTTATTTTTTGGCATCCCTGTCGGAACAGCAACTGATTATTTTTGTTTGCTTTTATAATAAGTCTAGTTAGAGAATGTCGTTTGAGATGAATATTGGGCGCCATTAACAACCCGTCTCCAATTAAATATTGTAAAAAAAAACTCAGAGCTATATAGTAATCTCACAGTTACTTTAAAATTTTCTTCTTGCCTTGTCTCAAATTGGCCCTTAGTAATTAATGGCAGAAAAATAACTCATTGCAGTTATTTTTTCCAATTGTATAATTTTCTATTCAAAATCAAATAAAGGATGCCAAAAAATGTACAAATGATAATTGCACAAAACAGAAATTTTTTGAATGAAAGTATTGACAACCTTCTTAGCGTTTTTGTTCCGGCCGTTCCCGAAATATTGTGAAAGGTGGTTCTCAGAAACTTTTCATCAGTCAAGTTTAGTAGCATAATAAATCTTTATTAATTGTTATTTGGATTCCAAAAAAAATATCAACAAGTCTGAATTGAATGTTTTTCGAACTGAAGTAGACAGAAATTGATGAGAGAGAGGCTGAAATCTGCATTGAATGCATTTCGTTAAATGTCAGTTTAACAAGTATTACCTCTCAAGCTTGCAATTTGTACCTCTTTAGTTTGCTCTTCATTTAAAAATTAACAAGAAATTTAGAAAAATAAATTTCAAACTTTTTGAATTTTTTGAGGATTTAAAAAAAAATTTCTTCATTCTTGATCTTCACTTCTTAAATCAATGTGGTCAGATCATTCTTTCTGCTAATTTTCCTGCAGATGGCTCCCCTTTTTATTGATATAAATTTAGCTGGTCTCAGAAGAATTGCTATGAACGATATAAAATCTATGGTCTCTGAGTCCAAAATTAAGACTATTACCGATGTATGGTTATTTAATAGAGAACTGCAGGGAATTGTGTATAATTCTTTTGGGAGAATTTCGAGCGAGTTAAGCAAGTGAGTAACGTTTGTTAGATGATAATCGGTTACTCGAGACGTAAAAAAAATCAATTTTTTTTCCAGGAAAACATTTTTTAAGCTTGATTTGGCAATAAAAAGATTTCACATTTGCAAAAAAAATAGAAAAATATATTTTTTTTAATTTAAAAAAATTATTTTTCAAGACAACTAGTCGATTATGATAAGTTTACTTCAGATCTATGCTTTTGTGTTTTTTTTTTCATCAGGCCACGTAAGGTACAAATTTGAAAATATATATATTGTTTTTAGTTAAGAATTTAGTCAGGACTTTCTGTGCTACTTGCGGAGTAACATGCTCCTATTTTTTCTTGACTAATTGATCGTTTTTTTATGCTTATTTCTCGAGGGAGGAATGATTCTCATTACAAATTTTGATTGGTCAAAATGATTTTCCGAGGTTTTCCTATTTG